ATTTAAGTTTTCCTTCATTATATGCATTGCCCCAGGGCCGTAACTTAAGTTGACAGAGTCTGATTTAAGCCATCCAATCAAAAAACTGACCGCTGAATAACCCCTGGACTAGCCCTGCACGACTGATCGTCCAGTTAACTTCTGTACCCGTAATTCTCTTATCCTTGAAATCATCCAAATTTAACATGGACTATTTGAAAGCAACATTCCCCAAGAGCGTTTTATCTGTTGTAATCATATTTGCTAGAACATTTTACTCAAGTAGATGATTTGGAGTAATGGACCGATATTGATTAGGCCCTTTTACCATTCGTTCACTGACATCCATGTTCCAGAAATGCACGAAATAAACTGTAGGCAGGAGCAGAGCTTATTGGGTCCTCCTGCTTCAATTATTCATGATGATGGCAAAGAGGATTTAAAGTCGACTCAGAGAGAGGGGAATATTGAAAGGGGGTGAGAAATCTTGAGGGATTTAGAATTGCAAAGTACCCAGAGTACCGCGTCTTTATTCTGTTTGACAACTTGGGTAAGTTGATTGATTCGCAGACATCTTGATGTGCTACAGTATCTACTGCCTTCTGTCGATAATCTGGCTATAATTGTGAAGAAATAACATCAGTGTATCATCTTATGGCTATTAAATAAGATTGGATGATATTTTATTTTTCATCTCTGAACAGAGATTTATTGTCTTGGATCAGGGTATCACAGTGGTCTTTGCTTTTACTTGTGATGTATTGACTAGCTTGAAGAAGATGTAAACTAAACAAAAAATTACCCAGGCTAGATGTATTACTTCAAATTGACATATTGTTGGGGTCCAGACAGAGTGGGGAAAAAATATGGGATCTAGAAGTTACAATCCATGATTATCCTCTTATGAAGTGGATCAGACTTGTACAGTATATTTGTATTTCTACTAGTATCCAATTTTCTGGGTACAACAATTGTGTGGTTACATCACTGCCTTAATTTTGACCATATATATCAGATCTTCTATTTTTCAATAGTGAGGAATGGCATGAGCCTATAGGTTCAGTTGAGCAGAAAAGTATCAAATAAAAATTTAAAGACGAAGTTGCATTATAAAATTTACATTATAAACATTAGTAATCAATAACAGGCCTGAAGCTAGCAATTTCACAAGAGGGAGGTGAGAGAGCTCTTTCTTTGAAAGAATGGACTTTTTTAGCCTCTTAGTTGACCCAACTTTAAAAATGAAATAGAACCTGCTGGTAGATCAAATTTGTATTCAGAGTGTACCTGTTCTGCCCAAAAAGGCAATTCTTTTTAACCGCCCCTCCCCCCCCCCCCCAACTCCCTGCTGGGACCAATATTGGGAGTGACGTGAGACAGACAGGGAATCATACAGTCATGCAACTTCTTATGAAATATCATTGTCTCATGTCTCTGACAATACACATGTAATCATAAACCATTCAGTGATTGGATGGAGACCACAAATTATACAGACACTTTTAGTGCAAGTAAACATAGCAAGTTCATCTCTTGACTTCACCCTGCATTTTCTATTCAAAATTAGGTTTTTAATTAGAAAACATACAAATTTTGGTTGTATGTATAATGTCAAATGTTAAAATACACTGGCTGCTACTCTTTTGCCTGTTATCCACAACAGCTTCGATCACTAATGTGTATATTGGGCTGGTGAGCAGTAGAATTGCTCAGTTCATACGATTCATGTGAGAAACGCTTTCTTTGCCATGGGCAGTCAGATCTCTCTAATGTTATTGAGCTCACCGGCAGATGATTTGATTGTCTACGTCTTCATTAACTGGCATATAGTGGCATCACCCATGTAAATATAGTGGTAAATATTGGCAACTCTGTATCAAGATTACACACAGCTGCGGTTGTACATGTAATCTAGGGGGAAGCAGCTAGGGCAGGTAATCCAGTTGGTAGGATGTAGTTCACAGCATGATGTCATGCAATCTGATTACTGCAGCATACACCTGATCTGAAGTATACAAGACTCGATTGCTATCCATCAGTACCTCCCATTCTCCTCCCCCTACCATTTTCAGTTAGATGCACGTCTGCTTATGTCGTTTGATATTTTCCACTGACAAAAAAAAAAAAAAAAGAGAATATATATATAGAGCAAATATACAGGTACATTGAATCTGAGTTGACAATGATTTATTTTCCCTTTTCACGTGAGAGAGTTTGGTATTGATTTTGTATCTGTTAGATAGTGGCATGTTTGTCTCCAATTACTGGCGCCAGAATGATTTCGATTAATTTTGCATTCTTCGTCAAATTTTTTTTTGTTCTTTGTGTATGAGGGGAAAGTATCATGTTCACATTATCTGTACAAATACAATGTCATTTTGCACTTAAAACTGATAATTTTGTTATGAAATGTAATAAAGCAAAGGCAGAATAATATGCATTGTACATACATTGCACATTTTAAAGTACCAGATTAAAAAAAAGGGTCAACATAATCTGTTAAAATTGATATTCAAAAGAGAGACACTGAGGTGATAGCCATGTAGTTAAAATTATAGTAATTACACATAGTTGACTACAAGTAAATTCAAAATAACAACTTCAACGGATGTAAGAAAAAGTAGGACATTGAATAATTTTAACTCATACATGTACATAGATGAAATCCTGATTGCTGGCTGCATGTAAGGATGAATTTATGTTTAACTAAATGAAGTTGTTTGTGTAAATCAGTCAAAAATATTTCACATTCGTGGACTTGGTTTAAAAAAATGCAATTTTCAAGTTCTTGCATTAATTTAAATGTATTGTCTACAGATATTAGAACCACATGCGAGTACTATGGATAAAATATGTTTGGAATGTAGGCTAGGGTGTATTCCCAGAGATTTAGATCGATCCAGAGATTAAGATTTAGATTGACCTAACTCCCTGGGGGTTCATGCTAAATTGCAGTCAGCCGAGTGCGCACCATAGTTAATTACCCCCTCACAGCTTTCAGTAGGCGGGACAGACGCTTAAGCCGGCTAAGCTGACCGTAATTTAGTGAGACTCCCCACAGGGATAGATCGATCTAAAATCTATGGAAATGGGGTCCTAGATAGCACATGTCATCTATAGCTACCTCCGACAAAATTACTAATTTGGGAAACTAATCTGGGAAAAAAGAAGAAAAAATAGCATAACATTAGAGCAGTCCATTAGGCAATATATTTAGTTTATTTGACCAGTGACTGTAACTCGACTCCCGTAGTGTACAAATCAATTTCATCAATATGGGTTTTCATGGGAACATCATCATATTATTGCTAATGCAACTCATCATTTTTGTAAGGCACTATATCCTTGAGAGAGAGAGTTATGTAACACAAGAGAGCAGGAAGGAATTTTTATTGGATTTGGGTATTAATAATTCAACCGAAGTTGATTTTGCTACAGATATTTCTCTATAGCTCGGAATTGTCTTTTCTCTAGCGCTTTCCTTTTCAGATCATTGACAAGCACACATCATATTGCAAATGGAAAAATGCCACTTATGTATTCTCGCACTTGATTCAACCTAATCATAGCAGTCATTGGTATTTAATATTTGATGCCTTTAGTTAAGCCAACAGAATACAACAGTGTTGGAAAACATCCATTTCTGCACAATTAACATGATTGCTATGAATGAATAACATGGCCAATTAACTGCAGTAGATTTGTTGGCCTTTGTTCAAACCTGACTGATGAGTAGGCTGTTCTTCTCTTCTGTAGCTGCTCTTTGAACAAAAACTGTTGAAAATGTGATCTGGTTTGGCTGTAATAACCTCCCCCTTTGAGAGCTGAAGACGTGATGGCATATATAGCAGAATTGATCCGTGGTATATATGGCTCTGATATCTTTGTTCTCTCTTACACCCAGCAGGAGAATTAAGTCACACAGAAAACACATTCTCACAGATAATTGATTGGAAGACACTATTTTAACTATGGGTAGTATTTTAAATAAATTCTTTCCATTGCAAGAATATTGATTTTAAAAAAATGATCTAAGACTACTGTGCTTATTGAGTCAAAAGTTGAATAATGATGAGATAATCACAGGGCACTGGGCCACACCTGTTAGATGTCAGAGGGATCTGGACCACTCCCCTTGTACCACAGGGATCTGGACCACTCCCCTTGTACCACATGGATCTGGACCACTTTCCTTTGGCCACAGGGATCTGGACCACGCCCCACTGACCACAGGGATCTGGACCACTCTCTATAGACCACAGGGATCTGGACCATGCCCCATTGACCACAGGGATCTGGACCACGCCCTTTTGACCACAGGGATCTGGACCACTTCTTTGACCAAAGGGATCTGGACCAATTCTTCGCAGGGACCTGTCTTATCAGCAGAATAGAACTAAAGTTCTTTGGTTTTTATATCAACCATGACATTTACTGCACTTGACATCTTTATAATAACATGCTGACTGTGTATGATGCCACTGTGAGAAAAAGTTAAAAAATGATATTGTCGCCCAGGTACAGATTTATGGTAAATCATTCATTGGTATTGTGTTGTACATGGATATAGAAGACAGGATAATAAATTGTCACTGGCAGACCTAATACATTGACATTTTAAATGTCAGGTCCCTACAATGAATCCCAATCATTTTGTGCAGGAGATTAGAAACCCCATACTAGTGTGTATAATAATTAAGGAGAGAGAGAGACTCGGAGAGAGAAAAAGGAAAAGGATGGGGTGGGAAGAGAGAGAGAGAGAGAGGGAGGGGGATTAAGTTCTTATATTCATAAAGAGAAAGATCTTGGTTATCTTCGGTTTCTTAACATCAAACTTGTACCTGGATATCCAGCAGTGCGCATCTTGTTTTCTCCACAGGTGACCTTGTGTATCCAGTGTCTTGACCCCGCGTTTGATGACATTTGATCTTTGAATTGTTTTCTTTTCATCAAGAAGCCAAGTTGATTGATGTTGGGATCTTCGGAAGATGATGTCATACTTATTGAGTAAAATCATTGGAATGTTGCCAAATTATTGTTTTAGGGTTTATTTGTACATTATACATAAAATGCATGTTGCATATTTTTTCTTATGACAAGCATTTTGCTGAAAATAAGCAGCAGTGAAATACTGTAGATTTTTCTGTTTATATATGTTTTAGACTATATTATTGTTTATACAAATTTGGAGTATTTCGTAGGAAATCCTAATTCTAGAAGTGCTGTAAATCAGATAATGTGGATGAATCCCCATGTCATCGGCACCACTTCACTGAGATCCTGTTTAACACAGTGAGATCTGTAACAGTATGTTTATGTCTGCTTGCAGTGCACCCCTGGGCTCGGTATGAACAAGATGTACGAGCTACTCTACAACCAGCCTCCTAAGATTATGCTGATTACTGGTTGCAGCGGGGTGTCTACATTTGTAGCGCAGGCAGCTAAGATGTGGAACCTGGTGGTGGTAAGTTGGCACAATTTGACTGTCACAACTAACACAATTCACAACTAAAATTCACAACTAACACAATTCACAACTAATACAATGGCACAACCCTTGCCAGTAGTAGCACAATAGCACAATCAGCTGGAAGCGGGAACCATTCATTGCTACCTCTTTAACAAAACCTCATTTAAAAATACTTATTGTGAGTAGCATATTTATGTCAGTTTAAAGATAACTATCATGTACATGAATGCGTAATGCAGTTAGAAAATCCAAGACAAACGACTGCATTGCAGCATGCACAGCACGAATCTTTGCTTTTGCAGGAAATGTCGGACAGAGCACTGCTAATATTTTCGTAGGGGGTCTTGTTTACTGACTAACTCTAGCAAAGAGTTTATTTCAATTTAAAAGCAAATCTTACTTTATTTTGGAACTAGTAAAATTTATTATGCTAGTGGCTTGTGAAAGAGGCCATTTGCTTATGATTTAGAGAATGATTTTAGTGGCTTGCAATAGATTTACACTTTATTTATTTATTTATTTATTTATTTATTATTATTTTTTTTTAATTGAAAAATTTCAGTATAAGAAAGTACATATACCCAAGTATGGTAAATGCACACTGCACACTCACTCTCTCTCTCACACACACACGAATACAAGTTTATAATCTCATGAACAATAGGTGTAATAATAATAATAATAATAATAATAATAATAATAATAATAATAAAGATCGATACCACAATGTACTCATCCATAACTACAACATATTATTAAACAAGCAAAAAGTGCAAAATATTATTATTTACACTTTATTGTAGCAGAGCAAGATTTTGGATTTCAAAGAGTTTCTTCTTCTGGTATTACGTCCAACAGAAGTTATTGGCATATTTTTATGTAGTAAACCTACACAAAGTATTTAGTTGCTATAATAAGAAAACAACAAAAGTTACAGCAGCTATGATAGTAAAATTGAAGCCATTCCAACATGGGATTTCATTTGTGGTAAAACTTCACACATGTTCTGTATATAATGCATACAATACTATCAGTAAAACTGCTGCGGTTAACTCTGCTCTTTACGACAAACAACATCAGTCTTAATTTTCTCACCATGGGGAGTGTGCGTTTCATACACAAAGTGTTGAAATTTGATTTAGGAAAACTGCTCTTTGTGGCATAATCCTCCTGGGGCTGCTATATTTACACCTGCCACCAGGTATGTTGATTGTGACCAGGTGCAGACAGGCTGATAGAGCAGATGATTTTAGCTTCTTCGTCTACCTGTGTTTTGCTTTGATTAATTGTGTCAACAGGTTACTATAGGAGATGCTAGGATCTACCAGAGTCACAGAAAATTTTTTCACTGTAGATATTTCATCAGCTATTTCTTTGCAATTTTCTGCACAAAGAATTTAAAGAAAAAAAGAAAAATAAAAACTCTGGTTTGCTACCAGGACTTGTGGCCAAGAAAGATGCACTTTCATTATTATCTTAAGTCACAGAGGATATATTTGTTATCAAAATAAAGTGAATTCTGCATATGTTTATCATTACATGACTTAGATATGCAGTTGAAAATTAAGTCACTTTTCCTTCACTTGTATTGAAAGTTAAAATTGCAGTTCATGCCCACATGGAGTCTTGAATTAATAAAACGATGGTAGAGATGTTAGAAATTTATGAAAAAGAAAGATTTGAAAAACTTAGTTTTTTAAATAAATGATTAAAGTGAAGGTGACTCTGGTCATCAAAGGAGAAGTACTGTATTGAGATTTTTATGAACCAATATAATCATGGAGTGTTAAATGCCAAGAACTCTCCCTCTCTATGTTCAGCTACTGGGTGATCTAGCACAATTAATCATCTAACCATTTCAATTTGTTGAAATGAAGTTTTGAACTTTAAAATTGTCAAATATCTAAATCTCAGGGTGTTTGACATTGTTTATTAAAAATGAATGTTTTTCTCTAACACTCGGATGAGCTGGCAGCTATAAATGCTCCTCGATCGTATTATGTGATAAGATACAGCTGAAGAACATACTGTATGAGGATTGAATTTAATGCAGTTGGCTTCATAGTTGGTATAATTTTAATGCATACTAATGGCATTAGGTGTGAAATGAACACACGATTCATCTCAGTATATGTCAGGGGTTCCTAAGACTAGCTGTAGATTAATGCAGTTCACAACAACTCTAGGATTCCCTTGATTTCTGATTTTTTTTTTTCGAGAAATTTTACAGATGACATTTTCGTATGTATCATAGAAATTGATAACTCCATGGACGTTTGTCTATGTGATTATGGAAGTCTTTCCTCCTCACAGTCAGAAAAATTCTGCGATCCCAACAGAATTTGGTAAATTTTTTTTTTTTTGAAAAATGGCTCAACATTCCACATTCTGTTGAATTTTGGCCATAATTATAATTGTTTATATATATATATATATATATATTCTCTTAAGATAAAAACTTAATTGACCACAGAGCCTTGAAAATTGTCTGTCATATGATATTATTATTATCAGTGACTGTGTTGTGCGCTGCATTTTGATAAACAGTTTGGAAACTATAATGTCGACAGTGTAAAATGTTGATAACATTTTCATGCTTTTTTCTAAATTGATTGATTGATTGATTGGTAAATTCTGATACACAGGATATTGTACAGATGTATCTTACCTTATCATTTAGTTATATCTGCCATGGTCATTATATGGCTTAGACATCCTTAGTGTCAAGTTTTTATCCAAAAACAATATGATATTGAAAGTAAATGCCAATATATGCTATATTCTAATATGTCTATAATCTATTGGTCCTTATATAATGAGTACTAGTACATCCAAGATGTTTTTTTTTTAATGAAATTTTTTGTGTCCAATTGGCAAAACATAAAAAATAAACAAATAAATAAATTTAAATTTTAAAAATATTTAGAAACTTAAAAAAAAAATGACCCACTTGAATGCTTGTTGTGTAATCCCCGCGAGGAATCTGTCAATGTTTAATCGGGAATTAAGCGGCAATCTTTTGAGTGGGTAGTCATATTTGATCCCCAGATTTGTTAGTCCTCTGTTCTGAATGCGCTTATAGAGAAATTTATGTGATCCTGTACAGTGCTGACCTCTGGTGGAGAGCAGAAGAGTAAAGTCTCTCTCGGTTGAATTATTTATGAATTGTGTAAGTTATTGTCATCTGGTAATTCCAGTGTCACATCCCTGGTGTTGTTGCTACGGAGATTGACAGCTAGTTGAAGCGATGCATAGCACTTTTTATGACAGGATAATATGCTGCCATAAAAGACCGTGGTTTGAGATGAATGCAAAGCTGTCACATTGATTTTTTAGGCAACTATGTGTAACCAGCCTCAGATAAAATACAAAACATCAAAAGAGATGAAAGGAAAACACAGAAAAATGCTCTGAGCATGCAAATGCATTAGACTAAATTGAAGCAGCCTGTGTGTTCTTTCATAAAGATAAGCTGCTAATGGATGACACCCTTGTCCCTCAGAGATAGAATATTCCCAGACCTTTTTTGCTGGTTAATGCCTCTTTTTTTTTCTGAAATAATATGTCAAGATTAACAAAATTTTTCCCTTTGTGTCTTTGATTTAAGGCATTTCTGTCACAAAATCATTTGGTATTGTCATGTATTTTCACTGCACTATTTTGTGTTGTATGGTATTATGTTATGATGCATTGTATATAAAGTATATTGCAATTAATATTGTGATTGACATTAATTGATCACTAATTGTGGAAACCAGAAGTTGAATTATATATAATTTAGAATAGCGCTGTTGTAGACCCTGGAAAAATGATGTGCTAGCTGATGTTGCTGTAAGCATATAGAGTGCCTGATGCAATTAGGAAAAAAAAAAACTTGGCTAGGATCAGACAGATCCTGAATTGAAAATGATTTCTTAGATAAGCTGGCACATATAGACTATAATGATTTTGTTTTGATTTAATAAATCTTACATCTGATTTTTTTCTTGGCATTATTCTACTCACTGTGGTGGCCCCCAAGCCATCATTTGTAATTGCCCTAGAGACATCTTTCCAACTTTTTAACAACCTAAAATTGTGTCTGCACATGTTCATAGTGCAGTAGCAATCTGAAAAAGAATCTTAGAACCGGTTCCCATACCTAGACCGATCTAGCAAGATTGACCCATCTCCGAGGGGTTTCTCGCTAAATTGCATTCAGCTAAAGTGACTCTAATGTCTGGTACGCCTACTAAAGCTGTTGGGGGTAATTAACTATCGTTTAACAGCTTGAGTTGGCATGCCAGACATCTAGGCCGCTTTAGCTGAATGCGATTTAGAGAGAATCCCTTCAGAGATGGGTCGATCCTTCTAGACCGATCTAGGTATGGGAATGGGGTCTTAACCACCCTTCCTGCCCTCTTTACCTAGCTCCTGTAGACAAACCCAATGCATTGTCTACACAGATTCTGTGGATCTGTCACTCCTGTTGATTGCAGAGTTTAAGACAACCTCCAGTGACAGCACCATTTGTTAACATTTACCTAGCAACTGTTTGTATCTCTTTTAGTAATTAAAGTCCAATTTAGAGGATGTGATTCAAATAATGGGGATGAATGTTGAGACATGCTACACATATATCAGTATTAAGGCTGTAAAACTATTGGAAAAGCCTGTCAAATGGTGGGTTTGATGTTCTATTAATTCATGACACATTTTTCTTTGCGTGGTTTACTTTGCCTTTGAAGTCTGCAATCAAGCAACTGTCTGTGCAGGCCTGGAAATTGAGGAAATAGTCAATGGGAGCAAAGGAATCTGATTTAGAACCTTTTTTAGATGTATGTGGAACACAGTGAACTTTTTTCAAACGTAAGTCGCATTCACAACAGATCATCTGCAGACTAACTGATCTGTGGACTAAAAATGGCCGACCCCACTTAAAAGCAATGCCGCCTAATCCCTTGCTGATCTCCCTGCCTCCACACTCCCCATTCCTGCAGGATCCTAGCAATTAAACTTTGGAGTCGAGATTTAATTTGTTTAATTGCTAGGTCCCTGCAGGGTTGAGTGGCGAGTGTGGAGGCTGGGAGACCAGTAGGGGATTAGTCGGCATTGCTTTTAAGTGGGTCGGCCATTTTTGATCTGCGGATCTGTAAGTCAGTAGATCAACTTGTTCTGAATGCGGCATAGATATTGCACACTTTGCACATTAAAATTGATACACACAGGCACAATTGCATGTGTGAACACACACACATGCACACACGCACGCACACACACATACACACACACACACACACACCTGATAAAACTATGGCACAATATGTTCCAATACAATGAAATGCCTCGTCAGCACTTCCCTTCTCTAGCTAGTAATTGACATTTAAAGCAGAAGCTTAGTTGATATATCTGATCTGACACCCCTTGCTTCATTTGAAGCTATGATGTCTATTAAGAACAGAATATGTCTCTTTTAATTTCCTCTTCACTCAGAGCAGGAGAAGCGATCCTGCATTCTTAGAACTTGGGGCCATTGTACATTGACGTTCCCTTGTGTCAAGCTGCGAGTTCTCAGAGATACGTTTCCTCCATTTGACAGATGACAAAGCTGAGATTTAGCTCAGATTCAGAAACCTATGTTCACTAATCTTCTGTGTTTCCAGTTTTTTTATGAACTGATAATAAGGCTTCCTGTGAGCAGAGGAGGCCATAATGTGAGAAGTTCATTTTCTTAGTCACGGTCTCCCTTTGATGTCATCTGAAAAATTATAGTGTAGGATTCGGCAGCAGATCAAGATGCTGTTGGGGCCTGCAGCAACATCTGTAGACCTGGGCCCTGTAAAGCATAGCGTATGGCGAATAGCGATATCACATAGAGGCTACAAAGTATTACATGGGGCGTGTATAGGTGAATTATGGAATCGAGACGCTTGCGCTCAGTCACAATGCGCAATGCTTTCGAGTTACGGGGCCCAGAACTGATATAACTTGATTATTGGTATTATAATCAGGGCTTTTCCCAGGATTGGGGATATTGGCCATTCAAAATTACCACCTGTAGTTTCCTATAAAATTTCAGGGAGTCCAAGCCGTTTGGTGATGCAGGAGGCTGTTCAAATGACGTCTGGACGGCTCACTGGGAAAATCCTTGATAATAAAATAAAGGAGAGCTTTAACTAGATTATGAGTTGGGGAGTATTTTAGGTTCATATTTCACGAAAAAAAAGATTGTGGCTTATTTCTTCCTCACTGTACATCACTTCAGTAGCTTCAAGTAAAACAGTGAAGGTCATTATATTCATGACTTTATCAATGTCCTCCCAAAAGTCATTGCAATATATGTGCAGTGTATTTAATTCCCATATAGATCAGAATATATTATATAATAGGTACTGCATTATTTGCTTTTTTATGATACAGGCAGATATTTGCCCATGCACACAAATTCCTTTATATAGTTTTTCGTTTTTCCTAGTGTTGGTATATTCATAATATGACACTGAATATAAATCTACACATTATTAATACAGTTATGTTGGCAGAAGAGCTGCCAGGAATTAATTGCATTTGTTCATTTTCCCAGAGGCAGATGGCCCTGAACATATTATCACAAGTCATCAGAATCAAACAAATGCCAGCATACAATAATTTGAATTATTATGTAAAAGTCAAATTCCTACATTGTTCCATTATCATAATTCCAGTTTGCCTATGGCTCTAGCTCTATTTCATTGTTTTATGATTATTGTTGTAATAAAAAAAAAAATAATAATATTAAATAAAACTTATATCTTACAGATGGCTCCAGTTCTGTGATATTTTATTTTCATTGTTGTAATAATAATAATAATAATAATAATAATAATAATACTTACAGCTTGCCTATGGCTCCAGCTCTCCAGCGCTGTCCAACAGGGAGAGGTTTCCGACGTTTTTCCGCACCCATCCCTCAGCGACACTCCACAACCCAACGCGTGTGAAGTTGTTCCAGAAGTGGGGGTGGACCCGCATTGCCACCATACAACAGACGGAGGAAGTGTTCACTACGGTGGGTATTATGGAAACGACTCGAGCACTTCAGTGGGGAAATTGTGAATTTTATGCTGACTGTTTTTTTTAGTCGCAATTATTTATATATTATTTTTAACCAGAACATTCCTATTGAGTGGTAGAAACAAAATTGAAAAGCATGCTGCTCTTTAATTCTATTTTATATATTAAAAGTGCTGTATTGAAGTATAATTTTTTAATGATTCCAAAATTATGCATCTGAACAATTAAAAATCTTCTACATTGAAAGGATTAAGACATCGACTTATGTTGAAAGGTTGTGATAACAGATTATTCTCTTGTTGATCTTCCTATTTTCTTTTAATTGATCCTCAAAGCGTGTTTCTGTGTTTTTAAAATAAAGAAATGCATGAAACCTCATGGCTATATGGCCAAGTAAAGAAAATGGTGATTTTAAAAACCTGTACGTTTGCCTGACATTTCTGACTTTGGTTGAGATTGCTTAAAAATAACTTTTAATGGCATATCAATGATTCTTTTGCAAGGAATTTTTTTAGCCAGCATAGATAGCTTAGAATGGTGTATTCATGATTTATTGTGTAAAATTTATAGTGCAAAAGTAAAACATACACTCTGTGAAATTAGCTGACGTCTATGATTCCTAGGCTCATCAAGCAGAAAGGAAAGGATTGTCATGCTAAGAATTCTGATGCCTGATTAGCTATATAGCTGGTTAGAGTTTGCATGATGATATTAGTGTATGTCTCCACTGCCACATGCATGTAGCATACTGAGAGATGACACAGGCTCCGTTAAAAAATTTACTTAAAGAGAATTTCAAACTAACCTGTTTAGGTATCTATCAGAAACTGAAAAGGGGATTTTTTGTCCACTTTTTTAAGAACTGTTACAAAATGGTGTCTGCATACTCAGTAAAGTTCACTTCTGAGATAGCAGTAATTGTGTTTATTAAATTCATTGAGCAGCAAATTTGTTTGATAAGTTACAAGAAAAACACTTAAAGTGTGCAGACCTTTTCCAAGTCAGCTCAATATTTATTATTGGTTTATAGATAAATTAATTGATTAATGAATTAACCACAGCAAAATCTTTTGGGTTAAACATATGTAAGTTAGCCTATCTGACTTAGCCTAAAATTTTTATCATAATCTGTCTACAGATTTTTTAGTCAGTCTGTTAACAAATAAAAACCAAAACAAAGGCAAAAGTGGAGGCAATAAGATCGGAAAAGAGAACTACCAGTCTTCAAAATGAAATTGTCTGACTGGAAAGTTCAGTAAAGTTGAATGAAGCCAAACTCATTAACTTAGTTGGTGGTTAAGGGATTGCATGTACCTAGATGACATAAAAAAACAAGTTTATAGATAATTATGCAGTACACTGATTGATTGTTTGTTCGAAAGTAGATGATAGCCTCATGAGTGTCTATGTTGAAATACACTTCAAGATCTTAGTTTTCTTTTTTTTCTTGCAAACTTTAACTTTTACTCACTTGAGAGATTTCAGTTTTTATTGGACAACTTCATCAATCTCCGGTGAGTTAAAGGTTAGGTTTGTAAAAAGATAAGGTCTTATACTGTTATTAAAATTGCTGGCACTAATGAGAAATTCTCAGAGGAATATGTATGTTTTCTTTGTGCTGAAGCAACTTTTATTCTTAGTGGAACAACTTCTCTTTGCATTAAGGCAGTTGCGTTTAAAACCATTACTTAAATTAGGAAAACATTTAAGATGGCAAATGTGTTTACTTGATATTTATCCAAGAACAGTGTTTAGTCATTAAAACATTTTTTCTACTTCAATCTTAATTTGGTTTTAAAAGGATCTCTGCATAGAAGTGAAAGTTATCCCACACATTGCTGAATCATTCTTTGGGCTGACTCTATAATAATTATTGTTATTTTGTTCATCTGTGTAATTTTCTTTTGTGTGTCTGTGTATCTGTCATGGAAGGAAAGCATGATTGAGTGTAGGCATAAGATCATTTAATGATTTTTCCTGGAAAGTTCAACAATTTTCCGTTTAACACCAACTTTTAATATATCTAATTCAAATCTGCTGAAATATCTAGGTTTTGTATATCTCATGAACGCCTTTTTGGGGTGTAGATTTCTATTTTCAGAGTGCCACTAGTTCATGTAGGTGTGACATCCAATAATTCAAAACATTATAAGCATTATTAGCTCTAGAATGGGAATCTGGTTATAATTCACTAATTTAATATGAATAAACAAAAGTAAAATAGGGTTAGTTTTAAATGTAATCACCCTGTTTTAAATGTAATCAGTTGTTTGCATTATGGATGCACTGGTGTCATGGAAGTTTTACTCTGTTTCTAACCATGCCTTTATAGTCAAACGCTCATTGTATGTCTTTAATTTTTTCTCGTCTTTATTTGTTATTCTGGTATAATGATTTGCCTATTTGTCTGTCTGTATGAATGTAATGAATTTTGTTGCCTCTTCTTTTTCCCCAACATACATGTATAATAACCATGTTTTCTTTATTCTACTCAACACCAGGAGGAGTGTTAGACCCCATTTCCATAGATTTTAGATAGATCTATCCCTGTGGGGAGTCTCACTAGATTACTGTCAGCTTAGCCGTCTTAAGCGTCTGCTCCGCCTACTAAAAGCTGTAAAGGGGTAATTAACTATGGTGCGCGCTCGGCTGACTGCAATTTAGCGTGAACCCCCAGGGAGTTAGGTCGATCTAAATCTCTGGGAATACACCCTTAGTCCGTTAATCTGATTGCATTTGGCCAGAGCACCTGTGGAGTTAGTTTGCATTAGTATGGTCAACAAAATTCATTGTGAACAGTCTCCATGAAACTTCATGCATCACTCTCTTAGTTCTTACTGTATAGTAAGAAAATGAACTAATCCTGCTGTGGCTCCAGTAAAGGAAATGCATGTTATCCAGTTCATATTCAGACCCTTTCAATTTATTAATTCTTTTCAGACTGTGAAAGATTTGGAGGAAAGGGCCAGAAAATCTGGAATAGAGATAGCCATCCGGCAAGACTTCCTTACCAACCCAGCCGTTGCTGTTAGAAATTTGAAGGTAAATTACAACACTGAAAGTACAGAGAGAATAATGCAGAGAGATCAAAGGATGAAATTTAAGTTTGAAAAAGATGAAAGAGTACTGGAAAGATAATAGAGAGACCATATTTATTAATTACCAACCTTGGGCTCTGTTCACAATCAAGTTGAGTGGACCTGACTGAGCTGCGGCTCAAATATGGTGCGACCCACTTGAAAACATGCCACGTAATCCCTTCAGGGATGATGCGTATGGGAAAGCAGAGAAGTCATTATGCAGCATGCACAGCATGTTTCAAGTGCACGGCCCAGTTAGGTTGCAGTTCAACTTGGTTGTGAACAGAGCCTTACTTCAGCAGCAAAACCAGACTGACAAAAGAGACATTGGGCGTATTCCCAGACATTTAGATCGATCTATCCCGCGGGTTGTCTCACTAGATTACTGTCAGATAATCTGGCTTAAATGTCCGTCCCGCCTACTACAAGCTGTAAGGGGGTAATTAACTTTCGTGCCCGCTCGGCTGACAGCTATTTAGCGTGAACCCCCAGGGAGTTAGGTCGATCTAGTTTGGATCGATCCAATCTCTGGGAATGGGGTCATTGTGTCTTCTGTGTGTTCTGTGGTACGTTAGGGTTCTCAGGGTGATCTGTCAGCTTGCCAGAGGTATACACAAGGTGGCTTCACCAGATAATGCCAATAATTCCAGTAATCAGACTTGTTTTCACAGTGACATTTTTGGTCTGATGACTTTTTTAAAAACCAATTCATTTAGGAAATAGTTATTTTTTCCTCGGAGAGTCGCAGTGGTTAGTGAGATTGATGAGGAAATTAGAGCCACTGTGTAATGAAGGCAGCTGAATTCCCACTTGGTGTTTGGAGGATCTTGCTGTGACTAACAAACTGTCAGCATAAAACTTGTCATTTGGACATGCTAAACTTTCTTATTTCTTTCTGATTCATTTCAGAATCAGTCGTGATGTGAGAAAAGACCCAGCATTTTTACTGATTTTACTGATTTCAGGGGGGTTGGGGGGAGGGGTAGAACAAACCCTCCTTTTTGACAGAAAATGGTCTGCTTTAAAATTAAAACTTGTTCAGAAAAGACCCCCCTTTGAAATTGCTGGCTGCAGACCTGGATTTTGACTGGGTCCACTTCCTCCCCTTGCTGTACTTATGTATTATAATCAGGCACTTCCTTGCAATAGTGATAAACATTGCTCCTAAATCTATTTATGCCTGATTCATTATTTCTTCCTTTCCCTTAAAAGTTTTAAATGTCTTACGTGCTTAGGGTGCACTTAAAATTGACAGTCATCGCAGAATAGATGATTCAACAATGCTGAAAGCTATTGATCATTTCCCTCACATGTTACTTTGCTGTGCAATTGAATTTTTTTGGGGAGCTGGATGCCATTTGTTTTCCCACTCTACTGGCTTATTTCAAACCAGTCAATTTTATTTTGTAACAGGCTTCAGTTTAAGCAAATTAAAGGCATTCTTTAATCTCAATTGAATCTATATTGTGCTTTGTTATGTTTATTTCAGAAACAGGACCCACGAATAATTGTTGGAGTGTTCTATGAAAATATGGCCAGGAGAGTGTTTTGCGAGGTAAAGATCACACAATAGTTGTTTAATTCTCAATGTTTGCCCACACTTCTCTACCTTGCTCGCTTTAAGAGAATTTTTGAAAAAAAATCATTTTTGTATCTTGTATAGCTACATCCACATATAAACTTATGGTATACACAGTGCTGTCATTGAAATATTTTATAGTTATTTCTATTATTATCCTTTTAAGGTCTACAAAGAAAAACTCTATGGTAAGAAGTATGTGTGGTTTCTAATTGGTTGGTACCCAGATAAGTGGTATCTTAAACCAGACCCCAATGTGAATTGTACAGCTGAGCAACTGCGAGAGGCCTTGGAGGGACATTTCACAACAGAAGCCATGATGCTGAATCAAAACAAAACTGTTGTCAGTGATGCTGGAATTGTGAGTAGTCAATGAGTGTGTTTGATGTGACATCAGAAGGATTGTGCCATCAGAAGTAGAATGTGTTAGGTGTGACGTCAGTGTGTCAGCTGCTTCATTTTAGTTTTCAGTGTGCAAAGTGTTTCAAAATAAAAAGTGAGGTTAAACTTTGACAAATTTTGAAAGTCCAATTGAATAATCCAGTTGAAAACAACTGTAGCATTTTATCCTTTGTCTATTTCTATTGAAATTGTTCTAGATGTATTATTTAATTATTTGTTTCCTGATATCATCTTCAGAATTCAATTGATGTTTTACAGAGAATCAAAGTTATCTAAACAAGGTTTGTAAAATGAGATATTTTCACGAAGGATTATGAATTTGACTTTAAGATCATTGAAGTTTAGCTGGTGCACTATTGTTTCAGACAGCTCAAGAGTTTGAAGATGAGCTGAAAAAGAGGATTGGAAAGGCTCCCTCTGACACAGAGGGTTATCCAGAGGCTCCCCTGGCTTATGATGCCATTTGGGCACTGGCTTTTGCCTTTAATAAGACAATACCAAGGTAACACATGGAACACACACGCATACACGCACGCATGCATGCACGCACACACACATGTGTGAACATGCACACACACACACACACACACACACACACACACACACACACACACACACACACACACACACACACACACACACACACACACACGTGCTGTTGGCTTATGATTTCAGTTGCATGCATGCACATACACATGTACACACTTGATTCCTTTGATTATGGAACCTTGTATAGAAAGGTACAGGACTTGACTCTTTTCTAAGAGATCACAATCTTTTGATCAGCTACAGCACCATGTGCTTTTATAGCTTAATATTAAAAGTCAGTTGACTACATATTCATTGCAACTTGAAATAGATGTTATCATTCACTATTTCAAGAAAGTAAATAGATACTATTTAATGACATTATATATAGCAAGTAATATTATTATTCATCATGTATGACAGTAAAAATCTGTCTGATGTTTAATGTGAACAGTTCAATTTTGAAACAAAAAATGTGTTTCCTAACACTTTGGACAGTCAGTGAATGGTTTTGCTCATCATAATGTCCATAGGCAGCCAGTAGGTGGCCGCACAATATATGCTGATGTTGTTTGTTATCCAGGCTTGCTGCGAAAGGACTGAAACTTGAAGATTTTGAATATTCAAAAAGAGAAATAATGGAAGAGATTTACAATGCCATGAACTCTACTAACTTTCTTGGAGTCTCGGTAAGTGGAAGAATGAATGCTAGTTATTACTTTCCAAAATCAAATTTGTACAGTACTCAGTACATTTCACAGGTACATGTACATGTACTGTTGTTGGCTGACTTTCAGATGATGAGTATATTTTCACGTAACAATTTGTCTATATCCCAAGCATTAAGGGACTTAGTCTAATAGATTGTATTAGCTAGTTGTTTCATCATCAATGCTGAAAGAAAATTTGCAACAAATTGTTTTTCTTTTCAATCACTTCAGTGTACATAAAATTGTATCATGAATGATATCAGTAGCAGTGATTGGTTTTGTGGGGTAATCAGCTGTTTTACTGTCCTTTAACCAATGTAAACATTCCATTCCAGGGTCCAGTCTCTTTTACGTCCGAGGGTGACCGGATAGCATGGGTCCAGATAGAACAGATGGTTGGTACGTAAAACAGGCTACAGAATTAGATGAAATTATGTATGAAAGAGCTTGAATTTCAAAATCGAACATAACTGGATAAAGTTTAAATTTCTTAAATTTGAACTCTCACCTGGTATTGACCTGTGCACAAAGCCCATTGTATTCTACCTTGCAGGTGGTATCTACAATAAGACTGGTTTCTATGATTATGTAGCAGACAAGCTGATCTGGTACAATATCGAACAATGGATTGGTGAGTCACAACTTTTGATTTCATGGCTGACATATGGACAAAAATTAGGAAAGGGACATTTTAGGGATATTTCTTGTCTTAATATTTAAAGAATCCTTATTCATTGTAACTTTATGTTCACATATCATAAAATGTAAGAAACCAGGTAAATAAGTTAAAGACAATGGATGCGATGTTGTGCATTTAAAAAAATACCTCCAAGTTTATATATATATATTTTTTTTATACTAAAGGACGGGCATAGTTGACATTTGGCACTGACTTTGCTGTTAGGCCTAATGTATTATTGCATCATAATAACCTTTTATGTGCATCATTATTTTCTGCTTTTTGTCTGTACATTTCTGTCCATTTGACAGCTTTGCTGACTTATTTTCAAAACTTTCAGATGGCCAGCCGCCTGCAGACAGAACATTATTGGAACCCACACTCAGAGTGCTGTCAGTGGGGACGTATATCGCCATATCAGTGTTTGCTGCACTGGGGATCCTCGTGGGCGTCGGCTGCTTGCTGTTCAACTATAAACATAGACATCGTAGGTATGTGCACATGTAGAACGTATAGATATGAAACTGAATGACGAAAACAAGTAAAGGCAAGCAGAAGGAAGCAAAAGAGGATATATTTTGATGACTTTTTTCATTCTCTCTCTCAGTACCACAGTAATTGTCATCAGTCTCATTTTTAAAATGCTTTAGTAGACATTATTTAAAAGTCTCTGTGTGAGATTTTTTGCACTGTAATGAGTTATTTGCCTATTGCCCGCCAGATGGCATTGCTGCCCTGTTTTTTCCATCAGTTGCTGTGTCTTCCAGGTTGATCCGTATGTCCCACCCAGATGTGAACAACATCACTGTGATAGGCTGTATGATCTGCCTGTTTTGTGTCTTCCTACAAGGACTGGACGGACAGTTTATTCCACCTGAGGTTTTCCCCCAGATGTGCCAGGTAGGGATAATACTTTTTTAAACTGGAAGTATGCATTTATATATTCAATATACTTAATATGTAGCCTGAAACATGTAAGTTTAATTAGTCACAAACATCTTGTATTTGGATTCGGTATAGGACCAGTTAATTTCACATGTACAACAGAGCAACAAAAGCACTTTTCAGACTTTATAATTCTATTTTTGAGTATGTTACTTTACATTTTTAGAATTTTATGTTTTTTATCTTAAATATTTATATTAATAGTGCACAGTGCTGAGACAAATGTGGAGCATGGATTTAAAGAGTTCATACATGTAATAATTAAATATGATATGTAATAATTAAATATGAAAACTGCTTTTATGTCAAAATATGAATACCCATTTTATATGATTGTAGTGATAAGTGCAGGAAACGTATTGCTGGCATTATGATATTTAATCACCATTGTGAGCACTAGCAGTGCTCATGGTTTTAACCCTGACCCGTCTTGTCTGCAGGCTCTGCTGGAACTCACAAAGTTATCTTAAAACTGCCCCTTTGTTATAAGCCACTGACTAAGCAAATTACTATCCAAAATGCTGCTTTACACTTGAAATGCTGTCAGTCTGTAATAAATTGGCTAAAGAATTGTTGAATCTACTTTATCCCCAGGCCAGACTATGGCTGCTGTCTATTGGCTTCCTTCTCGGCTATGGCTCCATGTTCTCCAAGATCTCAGCAGTTCACAGGTGGACCACCAGGGGGAAGAAAGAAGGAGAGGTGAGGACATTGTCTTTGATACATCACTTGACACATCATTGTTTCACTTTAAAGGCTTTATTTTATTAATTTAAACAATGTTTTCGAGTTTACAAAACACAGATCGATATACTGGTACATAATCAGATCTTTTTGGTTCATGATAACCTCTTTTAAGCAAATTCATTTAAAATTTGAATAATCTAAGGGACCATTCCCAGACCCTATCATTCTAACTGTGGATTGATCTATCTCCAAGGAGATTCTTGCTAATTTGCAATCATATAAGTGGCTTAGATGTCTTTCACGCCTATTGAAGCTGCTAAGGGGTAATTAATTATTGTTTAGCAGCTTTAGTAGCCGTGCCAGACCTCAAAGCTGCTTAAGATGAAAGCAATTTAGTCAGAAACTCATTGGAGATGGATTGTTCCTGTTAGGTCAATCCAGGTATGCAAACCCAGTCTAAGATGATGAGTTCATTTTCATGATGTATATGCTATCATGTTTCAGTTAATGAAGGAGTGGGAGCTCCACATCGTCCTCATCGTCATCCTGGTTCTGGACCTGGCTGCTCTCACTGTGTGGCAGGTGCTGGATCCTTTGTACAGAGAGCTGGAAGATTTCCCCCAGGAAGACCCTCCAGATATCCATAAAGATGTGAAGATATTGCCACAGCTGGAGCACTGTGAATCCCACCACTTTATGATATGGATAGGTAGGATATGATGTACAGTAAGATGTGATTGTGTTAGGTGTGACACTGTGTTTGTTGTTACAGTGTGTTAGATGTGACAATGTGCAAGCTTCGACAATGTGTTAAGCGTGGCAATGTATAAGGTATGACAATGTGTTTTGTGTTAGCGATGACATGGTGTTGGGTTTGACAGTTTGTTTGGAGTGATATTTTTAGGTTTGACACTGTGTTCATTACATGTGTATGTTGTACTAAGTGTGTGTAGGGAGACTGCATTGAGATAGGCTGTGTTGGTAGTGTGTTAAGGCAAATTCTTTGAACCCTGAATTTACTACATGTAAGAGTATAGATATCAGACAAAGGAACAGATATTGAATGACCAACAGTATTTTCTTCTTTTGATATTTTGCACTTCAGTATAAGGCAGTGTTTTTTTTTTCTTTTTCAGGTGTTGTGTTTGGATACAAGGGCCTTCTACTTTTATTTGGACTATTTCTTGCCTATGAAACAAGGAGTATAAAGATGAAACAAGTGAATGACTCCCGCTTTATTGGAATGAGTATCTATAATGTTGTGGTGGGTAGATGCACTTCTCATTGAAATATTGCCTTAATTTCATTTCTCAGTCTGATTTTTATTCATTACTACTAGCAGGCTATAAGAAATTTTAAAATGTTAAGTGAAGTTTTTAGCATTTCTGAACAGGGTTTGCTGCTGCTACAGATAATGACTTTTTAACACAGTGACTACACATGAAATTGGTATATTTGATAAAAGTCTACTATATTTAACTTCATCTAAAATGATTGTCCTGTTTGTATTCACCATTAAGTGTATGCTGTGTTCTGGCTGTCAACATAATTATGTAGACTGCTTATATGTAGTAAATTATTTCAATAGAAGTAACAACAACAACAACAACAAAAAAAAATAGAATTTTTAGTAACCATATTTTAATAAACTATATTGTTACCTTATACTTTATACATTTTATCTGAATAGCAATCTGATTTATGTTATTATATGTGAATTTTAATTTGTATATCAATGGCTGAATAAACTCTTATCTTGTCTAGGTGGTCAGTCTTATCACAGGTCCAGTGACACTTGTCATACGCAGCCAGCCTGATGCCAGCTTTGCCTTTGTCTCCATAGCAATCATATTGTGTTCTTTTCTCTCCATGGGGCTGATTTTTGTACCAAAGGTGAGCTTGGTTTTTAAGGTGATTTCACTGAGAGGACATTGTTAGATATCTGAGTGTTTTAGTTTGTGATGTTACTGTATATGGCATATGCAATGAAATTATCTATATGTGAAGTTCTTTACTGTTGGAAGTAACTTTAACAATTATCTATTTTATATTAATCTTTACTGCCAGTTTATTTGACTGTTTCACTTGACAAATCTTATATATTTGTTAAGTTTTAGCACCAGAAAGTCAAATTAATTTTGCATTTTTTGAAGATTTCTTAACCATGGTTTCCATTTCAGTTTGACAATGATCTTTATGAATTTTTTTTACTTAAAATTTGTATTTCTTTTTATTCTCAAGGGCCCATGCGGAGAATGTTGCAAAAAAGTACAAAATTTACCAATGATGTGAATACTTTGAAAAATTCTAAACATTCTGTTCAGAAGTCAGTCCAGCGTCTGTCACCTCTGTCAATTTTTCAAAACATTTTGCAGATTATAGAAATAATAAGGAACCCCCGAGATGGAGCTGAGAATGTCTCCCTGACAGATGCTACTGTGGTTCAAGAAGATGAGGGCAGATACAACCAGCTAGTCACAGATAACGAGGATCTTAAGAAAGCAATATCAGAGGTAGTCCTGAATATAGAACATATGTGAAATAAAATATGTCCTAAGAAGTGTGAAAAAAATACAGCAAATTAAAACAGACCATTAAAATGATAGTTTTATGTACTTAACTTTAAAGGCAATTTGATATAAAAGAATGCAATATATTTAAACCTGACTGTGTGTGTGTGTGTGTGTGTGTGTGTGTGTGTGTGTGTATGTGTATTTTTTTTTTTTCAAAAGAGTAATTTCTATTATGACACAAATTTAAAGCAGGGATTAAAACGAGCATTATTATGCAGAAGCTTGCATCATATAATTGTACTTAACATAAAGTATTTGCTATATTTTGCAGAAGGAAGATCATATTCGTCAGCTACATAAACATCTGCAGGATAAAGCCAGCCAGTACCACCAGAGGTCACCACCTTTTGCTGCAGACGACACACCCCAAAATCTTCTCAGGCGAAAAACTTCTAGAAACTTTACTGCAAAAATGGGAAGCATGACTTCAGACAGCAGCCCCACCCATTACCAAAGCAATGGAGATAGTGTTTTTGACAGTTACAGTACTTTCACGACCTGTACAACGGCACCCACAACAATAGCCATGACACATGACAATATCAAAACTGGCAGTGCCACCAAGACCAACCTGAGGCAATCCCTGAAGGTAGAGGATGCTCTGACTATAGGGAATGATGGAAATAGTGACTCGGCCATTGTGGCTGATCTGCATGTGACCCCAAAAATAGACAGGAAAGACCAGAAAGTGAACAGCCTGCAAGAAAATGCCATAATGGAGATTAGTCTATGATATTGCAGATTTGTGTTCTTGTTTTCTCATTATTTTAATTCATATTTACGTGGTACAACACTTCTCTTTTACTGACTGTGCAATGCTCTGATTTCATTTATATTTTGGTTTATGAAAATTAACAATAAATAGCATGAAGTCATAAATAGAAGACTGTAAATAGTACATTGATATTTAGTGAACAGTACATATTAGTTGTGCTGTGCCTCTATACAAGTGGCAGAAAGCACTTTCACTTGTTTTTATTATTTATTCTGAGGGGATAATGGGCCATATTGGCCCAGGTTTACATTGGATATCTAAGGAATTTATTTCCGTAGTTACTGGTAGTTAAAAATGAGTAGAATGGGAATATGACAAATCAAAATTTTTAATCTCCTTTGGATGGTGCCCATACTATAGAATTAACTGATGATGAACTATTTCTTCCATGGTGATGGAAACACCGTCAGTAAAATGGTGACTTTTTGGAGGGGTTGGATTTTTACTGGCACAACTCCAGGTTCATGCCAGTATGTGCATTTTATTTAGTATCACCTGTTAGAAATATATCAGTATATTATTTACCTGTTTATAAGTGACGGATGAGTCTTTGAATTTGGGTTAAATATATGCAAAAAAAGACCACAGGAATGCAGCATTTTGTAATAACTGCGAGATTAGATGAGAAGAGATCATTTTCAGGGGCATTTAGCACCCTTGCAGTGTAAACATTATAATTATGAATTTCAGAGTGTAACTTTGGTTAATAATGCATAGTTTAGTATAATATACAGTATTATTTTATTATTTTTGTTCATTTTATATATACATTTTTTGTTATAGCTTTCACTCATTTTAATTAGATTAAAATATTTTTTTGTTTGAACAAGTTTAATTTTTCATTCTAAAAATACATCTTGTTAACTTATGTTTTTACCCTCCATTGGCTGTGATGTTAAATGTCCAAAGAACAAGGTCAGAAATCAAATTTTGTTATTTATCATGGCAATTCAATTCATAGTTGTTTCTTTTCTCAAATAAACACTGGTTGTCAACATAATATCGTTAATTTTTCTTATTTTACTTAACTAAATAATTTTACAATGTCACCAGTACAAAATGTGATAATAATAATAATGATAAAGTAAAATAAAATAAAAAGGAAAGGTTACTAATAAGTCTTTTCAGTTAAAATTAGTAACTTTTATTTTCAGTATCTGAAGAAAGGGACCTACTAGATAAATATATACTCTTCAAACTAAATAGCTGAGGTGAAAAATGCCAGATAACATTATACTTAACTTAGATCACCATTTGCATTAAATATTTTATGATGCAAGTCTTGGTGAGAGAATTGTAACATGTCAAAATTCTTATGCAAATTTGGACGACATGCTATCAAAACTTATGAGATGAAGTGAGGGCGTTTAAAATTATGGGAGTCATATCTGGTTGTTTCATGTTAGGCATAATGATAAATGTTGTCCCTGAGGGGGAGCAAGAGCCACTTAAACAGGAGACAGTTCACCTCATCACTTCTGGTTTGACGCCATGCTATCAAATCCATATTTTACATTTTTTGCTTTTTAATTACTTTTTGGTGTATCACACCACTTTCAGTTCTGCAAACCAGATAACTTTATTGTATTTAATGTGCATGAAGAGTACATCTTCCTCCTTGCCAATGATTTCCATATATTATCAATAACCCCCACTCACAGATTCATTGATCTAATGCAGTTTTAAAGTACTGATATTCAGAGAGGTTCCAATACAGGCTCTGAACCTCAGGGCGATCTGATCACACTCGCTTTCTCAACACAAATACACCGTGAATACCAGTATGAAACCTATAAATTTCCTCAAAGTTTGCCGTGAGTTGCTCGATACGAGCTTCACCGTAGATACGATGTGCATTATAATCCAGCGTCCCTTTTCTCTTTCCAAATGAAGCAGGAACACCAAGAAAAAATAACCCACCAGGCTTAAGCATGCACCATATTTGCGCTGCAGCTTCAAAATCACCATACGGATTAATAGGGTCGCCATAGCGACCAAGTCCTGAGTGTTCTAAAGAAGAAAATGATGCAGCAAAATCAAACTGCGGTGGCTGATTTTTTATACTTTCATCTGCCAAGTCTGGCATCAGTTTAAACGATATCTGAGGATGCTCAAATATGACAGAATTATAATCTACTGTTGTCACATGCTTGACACCTATGTTTATAAGCATTACTTCTATCCAAGGACGAATACTCCCAATCACTATCCCAGACTTGCCCGTCAGTTCAGATTTGTATTTGCTGAGACCATTCTTAAACTTTGCACTCTCTCTTCCGTAACTTCCAATCATTTTTAGCTCTTTATCGTCCTTGATTAATTTGTTCATGTCCTCTATCTTAAACACGGAGCCCTTAGAAGCCGTTGTGCCATCCATGTAAAAAGATCCCAGTGCCATGTCTCCATTTTGTGTGAACGCATCCAAAAGCTCTTTAGGTGGCTCTCGTAGAGGTGGTTTATACACTTTTCCAGGAGGGTACTTAAGTCTCAGAAATATGTTATGACAATTAAAATTCTTCTTGACAAAAGACATTCCTTTGCTTTTGTGGATGGAAAAATCACAGACTTCTCCACAAGGAGGAGACAGGGAGTTGTCAATAGATGGTGCCACACGCAGACGATCCTTTGAGACCTTTGTCTGATGCTGGTTATGTAAATGGTTTGGTTCACCATTTGTCTTGAGCATTTCAAACTTTTTTGGCAGCTGAAAGAACATGAGTATTACAACTATTTTGAACACTGCGAATACTATGATATGTATAGTAATTGAACAATTTTGAAAAAGTACAAAATCACTGCTTTTTTTCAAATTACTGGATTTCTAAACAAGCATAACTGAGCTCATTTCAAAACGTCACCATGTCACTTAAGTGACAGCTAGCCCATCTTCAGTTCACTTGAAGAAAACTTTCATGTAAGCCAGAAATGTTGTGACCATCATTTTAAATATAAAATATTTAAGCTCAAGGATAAAATTGTGAACATAATTCTATTTTAAAATTTATCTAATCTGTGCATCGTTAAAGGTAACAAAAGAGCCACTTGATCCAAATACAGTTTATAATCAAATTCATAATTCATAAGAAACTTTGTAAGCCTCTACAACCCAAATCTGTATACAAATCACACAGCCAACTGTTGTAACAATACACAGATCTGACTTCTTCTAACTTCCTGCAAAGTAACACCTGAATGAAAGACCTTCCAATATATCCATCACCAAAAACACCTTATCACCAGTCAAATAAACAGCCAAAATGTGGTGTGGTATTATCTCGAAAGAACTCAACATCATCTTCAGTCAAACTTACCCATAAAATCATCAAACATTGCACAAGAATCAAAAGTGATCTGAAAAGGAAAGGATGATTCTGATTCCACCAGCCAGAACTTACCATTAACAAGAGCGCCATCAGCACGAGTACACCAGCCAAGCCATACAGCAGATTTCTGTGAACCATACTTCTATCCTCAACTTATCCACAAGGAATGGTCAGTCTACAGGGATGTGACTTAATAGTATTTCTAACAATATATATATTTTATATAGGCCCCATTCAGAATAGGGGAGTAACTAGCCCAAGGGCTAAACAATGCCAACCCACTTGAATACTTCCCCAAGGGGAATCTATTCAGTGTTTATTAGCAGAATAGATGGCAAGCTTTGCAGTAGGTCACCATATTTGACCCTCGGACTAGTTACTCCCCTATTCTGAATGGGGCCATAGATATCTTTACTCCTTGTCACTTAGGGCTCTTTCCCAATGAAACTTGTGTTCTACGTAGATCAACTCAACTCAGCAGGGAATTTCACTGCTTGAATGGAATCAGATTAAAATATTAACACGCCTCTTCCTGGTGTTGAGTAGAATATAGAAAAGCTGGTGATTTTACGAGTACGTTGGAAACAAGCAGTTGCGTGTTAACCTGATTGCATTCAGTGAGAGTCCCCAGGAGTTACTACGAATAACCTAGTACGATACCGGTAGTTTTATTCTGAATGTACCCCTATATGTCCATACTGATATACTAAATCAATGTCGGCTTGAGGGGAGTTTGGCCAAGGTGGACAACTTTACACTGATACTATCATGTGCTGCCCTCTGGCCATCAGACCCATCATATTAACCTGCACTGACACCGTCTTGTACTGAATACCACACGGCTGATATAAAAGCTGAGTCAATTTTTTCTATATGTGAGAGACAATATACTGTAGTAGTAGATATATTCCGTGGAGTTGTTAAATGTAGGAAGTTCCTAAAATGTTAAATTATTCAATGTCTATGATTTTATTATCAACATGGCATATAGCTTACATGGGTATTGTAAGCTTATAATGTTGTATTTACCAACTGATAGATGACAAACGACTTGACCCCTATCTTTCCATAAAGTAGAATATCTTTAGCATAATAAGTTAATATTTCTTCTTTCATAAAGATTTAGTTTTAGATAAACAATCCTGTTTGTCTTTTTCCATTGTTTATGATTTGATTTTAAAACTATCCGCCTGTAGATTTGTAACATAAAAAGAAGTACGTAGTACACAAAAGTCTATAAGTTTCAAAGGTTGTAATTTGTCGTGTTTTATTTCCATATCTCAAAACTGACACTTCTATAAAAAAATAGAACTTTTAAGTAACATTTTGTTCCATTGTTGCACTCTGAATAGTTTTTCTGATTTCTGGCAATGAACTGAGCCACTTGATTCACTTAATTTTAACAATTTAAAAACAAATATATAACAATGAATGTTGCAACTATCAGCACCGTTTCTTTGTTGACTTTTTTAGGCAATATTTAACAAACAACTTTTCAATAAAACCCACCATCACCGCTGACAAAAAATTATGTACATGAATGTTAATTATTTTTAAGGCAAAACATTAAATATATACAACAACAAAAACATCAGCAATGTGTGTATATATATATACATGTATATATCAACAAATATGTAAGCAAAATATACTTAAGCACAATTCTGAATCTAAAATAATCATACTTCTGATTATATTATCACAGAATAATATATTGCTCTTTTAATAAGATAACAAAAAATTAATTATTAATGCTCTATGTAAGCCATGATAAGAAGCATGCTTTATTCTTTACCATCAATTTCTCACCAATTTTGAAGCACAAAATCTTGAGTTATTTTCTGTTAAGCTTTCTTTGACATGTAGTTTTTATACCACGTAATCCCTCCATCCATATGTTGGAGATTTCTTCTCACTTGGGACTGCAAATTTTACACGTTTAATTCTGCATGTGCCTGTTTGAGATTTGTGTCTGTATAAAACGAGTTGCATTCCAATGCCCAAGCAGCAGACATGAAAATAAATCAAGCTTTATCTTCTCGGTTGGTCCATGTCATTTAATACTCTGTTCATATGCATGTTTATAAAAATAAATCACTCTGTTTAAGTACTATAAAAAGCCTGTATGATCTGGTTCCTCAATTAAGAGTTATATGACTGTATTAATTACACCCTCTTTAACTATGATTCACTCAACAACTTCTTATGAAACTGATGTCCAGAAAGATAATAGATGTTGATTTTACAAAGATTATGTAAAAGAGGGCATTACAAAAATCATATGGTCCATTTTCATATATCTAAATTAAAAAAAATTAATGAAAAAGATTCAATTGTAAGTAACCATCATGAAATATTTGATGTGTAGACATATGCATATATACACATGTTCATAAAACAAGTCAACATTTAACAAATATTATAATCATAGGCATTATGTAAGCATACTACATAAGTACACATATATGTTACAAGTCAGTGCACATGATGTACTGATGAATCCAAATATTAATACCTAATTAAAATTTTTAATAACTTCAAACACTAAATCTTAATAACAGTGTCATCCACGCACTGCTAAATCCAAATGTTAATACTTAATTGAAATTTTAATTAACTTAGACACTAAATCATAATGACAGGGTCATCCACAACCGCAACTTTAATTCATATTCTAACATGTTAGTTGACATAAAGGTACATTATATCATCAACAATGTTATAAGGTATAAAATCTAAAATGCAATCCAATTTGAAATCATTTTGGGTTTGAAGGACTAGATTTTGGCTCCAAGGGAAGGCGATCCTATATATATATATATATATATTGGCAATACTTTTTTTTAATAACAATGATTGTTTCTTGATTGACAATTGACAAAATGCCTGGGTAATTTACAAAAGATGAAATTATCCAGTGGTTGACTGAGAAATAATTTAATAAAACTGGTGATCTGCCGATTTCTCTTGTGGGTGAAAGCTGACATGTTTCTCTGGGCTACTTCCCAGCTGGATGATCTCATAGGATGACAAATCACTCTCGCTCCTTATGCTGTTCTTTGGCGAGAAAGGTTTGTTGAACATGTACACGGGGCGTTTCGGGGAGGAAGTAATGGGGCAGATCTCCATGAAGGGCTCGTTGGTCCACATTTTCTGGAAATACAGGTAATTATGACGAATAATGAATTTGTTTATGAAGCACTAACATGGACACAGAACTAACTGGTAAAAATTTTCAATAACGCTTTTTTTTTAATTGAAAAAATATATTCAAAAGAAACAAAATATAATCCAATCAAAAATCAAGGACAAAACATTTTCTCCGATATTTGGAAAGAGGGCACTGGTATAGAAAGTTATTAGTGTGTGGATGATATTAAGTCAAAATTCCACTTGTTTTTATCAGCAATGGGAGATTAAATCAGCCATGGCATTTACCATATACCCAGTACAAGCTGACCAAGTGCTTCCAGAGTTAACTCCAAATACATGCCGACTCACCTCACCCTCTTCTTTGGTCCATTTGAGGACAGATTCATCATCACCATAGCAACCAGCACAGCTGACAATGACAGGCTCACCACTACATCTGAAATTACAAGAGGGATTGGAGTGAAAAAGAAACTTAAACAAATTTTGATTTAAAGCAATTCTATCATATGCATCATCTTAAGCTAAAATATTCATAGACCCTGCAAGGATTCTAGATGTTAGTATCAACCAAGAGTTTTATAATTTTATGTACCTTGTCCACAGAACTGCCCTGATTGGTTTATCTGCGACCTTGACCCTGGCCTGCAGAGAAAGGTCAAACAGGTATGGGACCTCATTGGTGCTGATGGTGGAGTAAGCAGATGCGACGCTGATAGAGCTGAGACGCCTGGAGAACCCTGAGACGCTGCTACGCCTTACGACACCATCTGTGTCCTCACCTTCCTTCAGTGAGCCTAGCGAGGGAAAATAATTGACAGGTTATTATTTATTCCACTGGCTTTTGTTTTAATCACAGTTAAAAACTATACTTATTTTCAAATTGGTGTCTACCCCAATCTAAATATACTAATTGTAGTACTTATTCTAAAGATAAAAGTGACAGTAGTGTCATCATTCCATGACAGTTGTTACAAATTTTCATACACTGCACTTACGATCTTGCACCATTATGCAAAGATAAAATAAACATACTTCCAAACAAAATATGTTTTGATACCCTGTAGACCCCAAGCTCATTAAATTAATTAAAGTACTGACCAGTTGACCCTCTTTCCTCTTCGCTTGACCAGAACACAGAGCTAGCATTGGTGTCCAGACTCATTTGCCTGGAGTGACAACCAAGCATGTTGCCATTCATCCCAATTTGTCTGCCATTGGAACTGACAGTCCTCCTGGAAGCCTGGGGGCTGATAGGCAGGTCTCTTTTCTCCAGGGGCGAGTCGCCATCTTGCTGTAGAATAGAGTTTGTAGACAGAATGGCCGGAGAACTTGAAGTATGGGTCAAAGTGTGGTTATGAGTCACTGGAAGGTTGTCGAAATCCTCGACATTGATTATAACGCCACTGGAACTATCTTCTGCTTGCTCTTCTCCTCCCTCGCCAACCTCAAATAAAATGAGGCCATTGTCAAATTTCTCTTCTTTAGTTGCAAAGTCTGTGAAAGATGTCTCATTGTCTGTTGCAGTTTCCATACTGATGAATCCTTCCTCATCACCAATATTGTGGTCCCATTGTAAACTGGGTTTCTTCAAAAGTTTTTGAGACTCAATCCTAGCTTCGAGGTCTGTGAGGTCACTGTCTGTCCTTGACCTTTGTGCTGACCCATCAAGGTCAATGTCAGTCACTTCACTACTTGACCTTGACTTCTCATCTGGCTTAGGGTCAGTATCTCTATAGCAACCATTATGCAGATCAATACTTTCACTGATCACTACATCCACAACATTTTCCACTCCTGTGCTTTTCTTTTTAAGACTCCTAGAATAAAAGGCAGGAACTACAGTTTCAGATGAATTAGGATCAGTGCTTTCTGAACTGTTACCAGCACTGCTTTGACCTTGACCTGGATGGTCAAGGTTATCACTATGCTTCCTAATCAGTGATTCTTCTGTTTGAAAAGAATGCACAGGCACTGATGAAGTTGTAAGAGAACAGTGCTCTGACCATAGCAGATTCTCACACCGCTCATGTTGCCTTATGGCTTCAAGAATTATTTCTTTTAGAGAAGGTTGGTGTGTCTCTTCAGCTTGTGACTGAGATTCCTGATTTTTGTTATCATTTATTATTGATTGCCTGGCGGAATGATCAAGTTTAGATAACATTTGATTTTCATGTATTTCTTCATTTCCTGTGTCAAAGTCTGAATCTGAAATCATGACACCTTGCTTTTCTTCATATTTCTCCATATGATAAGCTGCCTGTATGCCTTCTTCAGCAGTACTACATGAACTTTTTTCCAACCCATGACAACTCTCCTGCTTTATTGCACATGCCTCCATTTGGAACCTCTCAGCATCTTTCTCCAAATTTACACAACTGAAATCTGATTCACCTTGAAAATCTTCGGCTTGTTCATCTTTAACTCTCCCCTCCACATCCTCCAGCTCCTGTTCACTTGCACATGTGTTTGTTGCCTTCTGGCTGTGAGACAAGTATCCTGCTGCCTGACCTTCTTCTGTATCAACCTCCTCACTAGCACCACTGTTGCAATTAGCACCATTCTGCTGCCTACTGACACTGCTTCCATTGGAAGCATCATGTACAAACTTTGTACAGTCGTTGTTTTTGTCTTCTTTGCTCTTACTGACACCGCTGTGAGACATGTCATTCTTATATGTTTTTGGTGACAACTGCCATTCACCATTGATATGATGACTAACCCTGTCACTATCTGAATTATATTCATTACTACCATCTTTGACATTGTCATTTTCACCATCTTGTTTTAATTTTTTCAACCCAGATAAATAAGACATCTCATTTTCTCTGACCTTATCAAATTTCTGCCCATTAAATTCTGATAGATCAAATGTGAAATGTTCCAGCCTGTTTTCACTTGAGCTGCACAGTTTAGGTGTGAGGTTTTCCTCCATGTCCTTGTCACAGAAAGCTGGATTGTTCCAGATAACAGTAACGCCACTGTCACGGGAGATCTTTCGCATTCTAGAAGACTGGTCCAGTGCAGAGTCGCTGATGGCCTGCCTGGTTGGCGCCCCCTGCTGGAGAAATCTGGAGTTTTCTGGAATAAATGATTTATATTCTTTTAATGGCAGAAAGATCATAAAGACAATCATTTTTTTTCCAGAAATCACTTCATAATAGTGAAATAATAAAGGGCATGGGATTATTTTAAATATAATTTTTTCATTCAATTAAAATGTCTATCATAATTTTTTAATTCCATTAAAATATCTACCATTCTTGTCAGAAAGATGACTGTCATTTAGTACATCTGAAGTCATTCGTTCCAATATAATTCCTGTCTACAAAATCAAGATTTTCCCCCCAATTTTCCACAAATATCACCCACCAACTCCACTGCCCAATGAGCAGCGAGGACTGAGTCTGTTACTTTTCTGTTCCTCCAGCCTCTGGTAGTACAGTTCCTCCACTTTGTGCCCCACCTGGTGCAGAGTTCTCAGGTCCCTGGAAGTCACATGGAAAACAAATGTAAAGTTTAATGAGATATGAATATCAAGACTTCTTAATGTCTTCTTATCAATCTTTTTGTGATTAGTTGACCTGGACTACTTGTACTTGCAAACTTAATGCTGAAAATTGAATCACTCTCCTCTCACTTTTTATGTGCAACACATGAATGTGATACGGTAACTGTAGGAGTAACATTTTTACTTACAACAGCTATTGCAGATTTAAGATAAAAATATTCTGAAAAATTCACATTATCCAACTAGTTGTAACATATTGACAACCTGAGTATTCTTATCTCTGTTTAATTCTGAAATCTGTGAAAGTGGATTACAATCAGAATCGGAAGTGATCCCAATTCAGCACTGCAAATTTAACAGACGAAACTGATAATCGTTAACAATCTCAGCAAAAGTGGACTTACTTGACCACTTGACCACAGCTGGTGTAGTATGGAGAGCTGAGGTTGCTGTCACTGTGAGGGGTCGCTGCCTTGCTGTGAAAGACACCTTCCTTGTCTATGACATCATAGAGCAACAAGTTCCCGTCTCCTGTCCCTATCCACACTGCATGATCTATGGGCAGGACTGCTGTGATACGGGACCCATTGAAGTAACAACAATCCTCCTGTGGGGAAAACGTGATCACTGTTCAATTGTCTTAACAAGAGAGCTTATATCTTTGTTTTAAAGCCTTTTATTAAATCATTATCAAGATATTTTATAACCCTATTAACAGTTTTTCAGAATGGAAAAAAAATGAGAGTTAAAATGTCAGGCCCGTGTTTGTTACTTTGTATGCACATTTGCACACACTAAATGTACATTTGCATGTATTATTTCTGTACACGATTGTGTCCACATCTGTTTCTGGACTCGAAAACAGATATTGCCCACAATCAACATAACACAATCACAGCTTCTCTAACACAATGTCAGGCATTCACCTGTTAACCAGTACAAGCCTAATCTAACACTGTTAATGATACAACAGATATGTTGAGTTGTGGTTATCATCACTGGTGTAATAAAGCAGACCCCACCTACCTTCCTCAGGTTTGGGTATCTATTATCCTTCACATCAAAGAACATCATGCATGTGAGCAGTCTGTTGTCCCAGAGTTCAATGATGGACGACCCCTTGATTGCAATCCAGACCCCATACTGGCTCATGGCGAGGGTCAGAATGTGGTCATAGGGGTTGGTGGACACCACAAAGTTGTCCATGGGGTCCAGAGTACTGTGAAGAGAAAAAACAAAGTAAACAACTTACAGTATAATTTATCATGAATTCTTCATCATAAGGCTAAATATATGACACTACCTTTTCATTGCATCAATTCTATTAATTATCAGTTTTCTAATAATGCACTCACTCTACCAAAGAGTGTATTCAGATTGCTCACATAATAGTCCTCAAAATTCATAGATCTATTGACAACATGTTCACTTAAAAACACTTTAAATTCAACACACAGAAAATGATCAAATGTGTGTTTTTTAAGATGGTGTAATCAGCGAAGAATGGACAGCTTATTGTACAGGGATGAGAATGAAAAAGTCAGAAAATTTGGCTCCCAAAAGTCAGAAATATGTGGAGAGTCAGAAAAAAATCCCATTACTGATTTAATATACTTACACAGCATGTAATATATGGACCATGTTCCCTGTTGCACACCATAACTGTTTGTCTATCAGCAGCATGGAGGTCACAGGCCCCTGACCAACGGGAATGTAGAATACTTCATACTGGGCACTGTCTGAAGAGGACAGTTTCTGAAAGAAAACAAGACCAAATGTTATATAAATCTTCACATTGGATTCACATTAAGCTTATTCATCACAAATTTCAAACACTTCACTTTTTCATATTTTCATAACTCACAGAAACGTTATCTGAAATGCAGCCACCTCTCTGATAAAATGTGAAAAATACACTGTTACAAGATGAATTTTACTATAGGTGTCTCTGACCTCCAGCACTGCCACTGTACCGTCCGCCAGAGCTGCAAAGATCTTCTTCTGTCTGTCCTGTTCATCCATCACTCTCAGTGCAAAGATGGCGTCATTAAGGCGCACATGCCATAGCTGTACTCTGAAGCAAGACGTTGACATCCAATATTATGTATTATATGGGTATTATGGGTATTATATGCATAAACAAATTTTAATTGCCTCAAATCATTTATTCCCAAACCATTGTCATAAAACACACACACAGAAAAAATGTATCGTACAAAAATATTTATGAAAAAGTTCTAGGATGTATATTACGTATGTATAAATACCAAACGATAGAGACTACTTTCATGAACATCAACCACATATAACATTGGCCTTGCGCTACAAATTACCTTGACCTTGTACAGTAGGCAAACAGTGATTGGCTGAGAGTTCCCACCAATACAACCTCGGGGCTGAGGGCACACGCACACAGGACTCGAGTGTCAAACTGGAAGAGGTAAGATGAAATAATGTCAAAAATGTTGCAACAGAAATAGGGTTAAATTTGACAACTGCATATAGAAGAAAACAGAGAAAGTAAATACTGTAAGGGAAGTAAGCTAATGAAATAAATTGTACAGAGCTGATAAAAATATTGTACCTACTCACTAAAGTCTTACCTCTATGTTTATGTCATACATAAAACCTTTGTGACATCTGACCTCTGCGACCCTGGATGATAGCTGGTTGCCATGGAAAACCCACAACTTCCCTGTAACAAGGACAGCAGTTGTCAATGACATGGTTATCGTAAAGACAAAATATGCAATGTGCAAATTGTTTGTTATAAATTGGATGAAACAAGTAAGGAAAAAAGTTTGTTATTGTACCACCTTTAAAGGAATTTATATTTTCTTATATTTGTTATTATAAGCAACAATAAAAAAATCTTTTATTACAATCATTGAATTTTTCTGAAGGCTTTTACAGTGGTCTTAAATATTTTAGATATATTTTCCTTATACTTCCTCCTGTTTTCATACCCACCATTTTTTGTTATTATTTAACTTTCATCACATTGATTTATCTAAGTTTATTAACAGGCCAAAATTTTTGGAAGGCTTAAAAATTTGGGCATTTTAATCTCTGTTGTTCACCCAACTTGAGAAATGGCATAAAACCTAGAATGAAATTGTGATTCACAGAAGACCTTTTCCAGTCAATGGGGCAGTACTTTTGTAACCCCTCTTCTCCCTAATCCCCCTGCCAATGGCCACGTGTAGTACAACTGGCGGCCATCTGCATTAAGTAAACAGACAGAAGTCTGGCCGGCATGCCTGCTTTGATATGCTGTTCTTTTGAAGGCTGTTTCTGCAAGCTTACAACAAATTAAATGCCTGTTACTAACTTGCCAGCCACTTTTCAGGGCAGAATGCTAACCTTATGCTGTCTGATGCACTTTGCAAGCAGTGTTCTCGACTTTGATGTTTTTCTTCAACAATTTCATCAGCTGTAAAAGGTTACGTCAGTCCAACTTAAAACAGTTTTAATTGGGAGTTTTAATGTTTACTCAGTACGTGCCTGCTATTGTTGTCAGAGTTTGGGTCAATTATTTCTTCGCAAACCTGCCATGTTGAATGCATATTAATCCAATTTTTTTTCTTGAGTACTGTACAAAAAAGGTATTAAGTTAAATGTGTTCATTTAATGCAATAAAATATATACATAACAGGGAGCACTTTTTGCCCTTTTAATCTTAAAAAGTTGTCAATCCTATAATGGCAGAGTCTTAGAATAATTTTACCTGTTAATTCAAAAGACAGGCTTAAGTCTATGAGAGAGATGCAACATCGTAAATTATAAAAATAAGACTAAACTTTAAGTCAAGTAAAAGATTTAAAACACTTAAATTATGTTAAATACGGCTGGACTAATAACCTACATAGTTACTATTATTTGAGAATCTTTTATTAAACTATGTCATGAAAAAAAGATCACATTGTCCAGTTTGGTAGGACTTGTAGGGACAGATAAGGCTGGTCCCTTTGTTTCTACAAAGACAGTCGAAATGTCCCTTGAAAAAATTACAATGCTAAATAGACAGCAAAACGAACTTCAGACTGCACAAGGGCTAGTAGTCAATCTGGATGACGAGCATTCAGAAGTTGCTCAGAGGTCAAACAGATCCGTGGATCAAACATGGCTGACCCCCTTGAAACCTAGCTGCATTATCCCCTAACATACACTGAATAGATTCCCTGCGGGGATTTCATGAGAAGCTTTCAAGTGGTCAGCTATAATTGATCTGTTGACCTTGTTAGTCTGGGGATCAACTTAGGTTGTGAATGCGGCCTTAATCTGGCCCTGTTAATACTAAGACGATTGCAATCCACTCACCTTCCTGGAAATGTACAGCACATTCTATGAGGGCTCTCTTCCCTGAAGAGTATAGGTCCAGATCTTCAAACTGAAGGAGTAAAATTAATAAAATCTATCAAAATAGAAGGTAGATTACATTTATTTTCAATAAATCAGACCTTAATTTCCTCCTGAAAACAAGATTTCAATATGTTATCTTGGGCCAATGTTAAAATAAATAAACAATCAGCATAGGATGTGACAGTTTACTCCTCAGTCTATTTTTAAGTGTATTAGAAGCAATTTAGTTTTGATATTTATGATCTTACCTAATTTTACCTAATAAGTACAAATATTTTTTTTTTAACATTGTAGAATTTCAACCATCGGGTTGCCATTTTACTAATCAAACTATAATTATCATTATTATTATTATCATTGTAGATTTTTATCAATTTAGTATGTTTTCAATCTCCCGATTTCTTGGTTTTTACAACTTGTAGTTCTTACCATTCTTTCTCTCTCCAGGAATGCCCGCTGTTGCTTCTCTCTCTTCTTCACCTTCTCCTTCAATATGTTCACATAGTACGCCTGCTTGGATGTGATGTCTTTCCTTCGAGGAAATGGATTTAGGTCCTCAAATGCAGTCTGAAGATATTACAGGAACATTTTAATTTAAAATCTTTAAGAAAATGTGTCAAGATGCTTCCTGAATTTCTTAGGTTCTATTATAATTACAGAAACGGCCATCTTAAATAGTAATATGCTGCATTATGATGCCTAATGCTTCCACAGTTAGCCTAATGCAGGGTATTCCATGCTCAGCAAAATATTCAATTTTTTTTTTCTCAGTGAAATATACACCTGTGGTGATTCCCAGATTTGTCATTATAAATTGATTTAATTCTACATGGAATCCCATGTAGAAAAGTGTGGCCTGGAGAAACAACATCTTATGAAGAGTCCCACCATCAGGTGCTGTCGACCTTCGAGAAAGTGTTAAGGTCCAAGCTGGCACCTACAGTGCATTAGCAATCAAAATCAATTTCCATATAAAATATATCTTCACCTTGACTAGCCCTTCAATGTCAAAGGTCAACTTGGCACAGGCTTTCAAGTGTCTCATGATGGAGATGGTCTCAGTTTTTTGCACAACTGAAGACTCGTGAATTTTAAGAATGGCAAGTGCAAAACGGAACAACACCTTGGGTCCTTCCAGAAGAAAGCAATCCCAGATTCTCAGCAGAGTCTACAAAATAATACAGAAACATTTTAATGGCTTTCATTTTTCAAATATTGCTATCATATCACAAAATAATAACATATATATTTTTAAGGAAAAACTTTGAGTAAATATCAAAACCTTACAGAATTGATCTGTTATACCCATGATCAGTAGTAGAAGTATGGACATTGATTATAACAAAAATATAGTGTCTTCTACGTGTTCTAATACAACTTTATAGATCTTTAAATATATTTTTATATAAATGTCCATATATAAAATGACCAAAAAGCTATCCCTGCCAGATCCCACACTGCACTTCACACAGTACATGACGGTACACTGAAACCCTAAACAAGCATTTAATAGCCTTAAGTGGTTATGTTGTTGGGAGAAAAAGTCAATTTCCCACTGATGCTTTCACCTTTTCTTGACCACCACTCAGGGCTACTACAACAAATCTTTAACAAGATCTACAAATTCATAGTAATGTTCTGCAACACAGATAAGGCATTACCTCAGAGGAAAAAAGGGAAGCAAATCCTTATGCTGTTTGGCATTTGTTGATTTAAACTTTTGCCAAAACCTTGACTTCAATTTGGCTTAAAAAATTGGCCTCTGTTTACATACATTTAACCACATGACATTGTACAACATTTCATTGGCAAAGGTTGAAAGCCCCAAAACACTGACCCCTTGTTGTATTTAAATGAACGGGTCTCTTAATAGCCATTTCATCCATTGCATATTAATATCAAGTATTTCCTTTCTGTAAGGGATAGATAGAAAAAAAGTGCTTTCAAAGTTTTGTCTTTCATCTGGTTGATGGGATGGGAGGTGGTGGGTCATATATTGAAAACATTAACCAGAAATAAAATATTTAAATGTTAAAAAATACAACTATATCTGACACTTTGGTGACATGTTGCCATGCATGCTGCTTTTACAATATGTCATAAGACAAAATATCCTTAAGAATGACATCAACTTTTGGTGAATTTGGCATCATCGTTGAGTAGCAAAGAGACCTTAATTTCTTCCTGAAAACAAGATTTCAATTGTGTTATCTTGGGTCATTGTTAAAATCATCACAACCAAGTGAGTGGAGTTCCTACTTCAATAATTTCTGGAAGCCCACCCCAAAACAATACAAAACAAACACAAAGTCAATGTTTGGACAAGCACCATGAGTTAGGCAACAGTTGGGAAATTTATCTAACCTCACACCTCCCAAGAGGTTCTTATTCTGCCTGCTACGTGAATAAATAGAGATCTGCCCTACACAACAGTTTTCATGCTCACAGTTACTCGATCCAAACCTAAATAAAATCAAGTGGTGAAGAGACAGGATAGAACATGTTCTACACTCTGTTCTCTTATCCAAATGTAAAAAAATCATTTCACTATTTTAGAATTAAATAGGCAAATGCCGAACTGTTGGTCTGGTTATACTGAAAAAAAAAATTCATTTGAAATCACAAAACACCCATGTAAATGAAACTCGTGATCTTTTTATTCTAGCGAATCGATTCAGACTGATAAAATCTTAAACCACTTTCACAGCATAAATTACCACAAGAAGCTACAACTGTCCCCCAACCCCACCCACCCACCAACAGCAGATTAGGCAGCCCATGCCTAAGAAGCCATGGAGTGTAAATTAAGTGACCTGTAGATATGGATTCAGGGAGTTGCAAACAAAGGGAAGATCAGACAATTATAACAGGCCAGCAATGTCAAAGCAAAAATACCAAATTATCATTTCACACAGCAGTCCATCAGAAAATGATCTTTGAAATTTTTTTAATAACTTGAAAAAAAAAACATATTCAAAAGACCAACAAAACAGATAGACAAAAACTCTATCCATCTGCAGTGACCAGTGCAGGTGTAATGGACAGTAAAGAACACAGGTAGTAGATTGGCTGTAACTGAAAATATACCTAGATGATCTCTCATCTTATTACCAGTATTAACTATATATTGGCTGTTAACACCTCTTTGTCTTTATAATAACTGACAAATCTTTAAACAAAGTCTTGGCCCCTTGGTTTCTGCCAGGTATGAGGTCAGGTATTACAAATCAAATCACAGCACAAACCAATCCCCACATACTTTCACAGAACCTCTTAACTACAAATCAAATCTCTGCCAACTTCTTGAATTTGAAATAATTTTAAAGATCGCGCACCTCCCGAGTCTGTGAACGGTTGTGATAAGAAGCACATGTTACTTGTTTCCCTCTGTGATTTAGTGTGGCCGAATGTCACACAGAATATAAACAATATAGAATATGACCAACAACGACAAAAAGTATGATTTATATATTCCACATGAAGCATTCACTATGATGTATTTAAAAAAATATCTGTAATTTCATATGTGCAATATTAAACTGCAAAATATTACAATGAAAGGGAGTTCAGTTGCATCCAAGTATTGATCAAGTTCAAAGTTACAGAAAACAAATTGTGAAACATCACTTATGTTTGATATAGTCTGTCCAAGTGAACCATCATTACACTTTTTGTTTTTTTAATCTAATAATAAAAAGTGCCAAATTGAATTCCACTTATTATCTGTGAAAACAGATCAAGTGTATTTGTTTGCTTGTTTTATCACTATCATACAAAAATATCAAATAGTAAACAGACTTTTAGTAAATAGTTTTGTTTTTGGAACATACTTTTACATAGTAATTTTGTTTCAAACTTGCCTACCCTGTCTTTTTCTCTTTTTCTTTTGCATTGATTTATCATTTATCTATCAAATACAACTGTTACAGAAAACCATGCCTCTTGGTTTCAATTTTCAAAGAAAGTGACAACTTAAAAAAATCTATATAATTAAATGAAGCAAAAATTCACCTGGGAACTTTTACTGACAATAATAAACCAACCCTTTAAAATCCCAGTTTGACAGGCTTTCCTTTCACTAGTATTCACCAAATGATTTCTGCCTGGTGACCTCTGACCTGTAAGAGCAGGAAGCCACTACTATGCCATTTATCATGGACTGGAATGGCTTCTACCACTAGGGGCAAATAAATCCATCACAACTGTTTGCAAGCAGGGTGTTTTTTCACTCCTTTCAGAAAATAGGAACATTTTCTCATTCTGGTCAAAAATTTGGAAAACTGCACATTATGACACATTTTTACACAACTACTGCTTGTTTTTCAGCCAACATAAACAAGGGATAAATACACTAGTCCCTTCCCTCTCAAAACACCTGTTAGCAATGAGCCAACCCATCCTCCCCTCCAGCACAATGGACTATCCCAGCCCAGGTCTGGTATAAAGCTGCAGCCCCTATGGCTTTGATCAGGTGCACTAAGACAGTACTCTGACCTCATACCTGGATGGACCGGTCAGTGCAGTAAGAGGGCAGTGAGTGGGCAGTGGTCAGGGACCAGTAAGATTAAGTCTAAGACTGAAAGGTGTAGCCATTTTCCAAGAAGTTACTGAGGATATTCTTTTCTTATACATTCCGCCTAGGACAAGATAAATGACTCCATGCAAAGTTGTGTCAGTGTACAGGTAATTTCAGTGGGAAGTGTTTGAGAAGTTGGAGAGAGGAGGAAGAATGAGCAGCTGAACCCAAAAAATCATTTTATAATACATGGGTTACCTTTTGAGCAAACTTCAAAGGATAAATTCAATGATACTGTAATATGATCATTTAACTCGAGCCTTTGATAAAAAAGATCCTGGTTAGATATTTTGAAGGAAAAGCGAACCTTGCATCACCTAAATGACACCTTTCACAACACAGTTGCCTGGGACTTTCATAGAACTATGAACAGTTTATATTTAGGAGTTTAGGGAGTGAAAACATTGGGGAAGAGCATCTGTATCTTTTCAGTGGAATGATATATGCCAGTTCCTGCCTGATGCCTGGACACATAAATAAGAGAAACAGCTGACACTTCTACTGATCTCATCTGGACGGGGATAGTGGCAAGAGAGAGAAAAAGAGACAAGGAGAAAGATTTCATTTACCAGACGCACACACCATATTCCTGCCATTATGAAACCCTCCGCACCATTCCAAGTTCACTTTTTCTACGTGTTGCTTCTGTTTTTTGTCAAGTTGTGTTCTGGACGGTCAGTAGCAGACAAAGAGAATGACCAGATCAACCTGCTGGCGGACCAGACTGATAATGAGAGGGGTCAAAATGACCAGTACATGCACCCTGGGAATCTGGGTAAAGTTCTGCAGCACCTGCTGGGCCAGATGAAGATGATGCAGGCAGTCCAGGAGAAAGAGGGGTAAGATTTTCTCAATGACAGGCACCCTTTCCGAGACAATCCTGATTTTATGGTCTACTGGCAATTTTCCTCGGTAACCAACGAGTAAAAACCTTTATTCTTGCAGGTCCATAAGAATGGGGGTGGGGGTGGGGTGGTGGGGGGTGGAGTTCAGGGGGTTGGAATTGGCTGCAAAGGTTGGCTCTGCATTAAAATCTTATCTGTATTCTAGAAGGATCTTCAAAGAAGATAAAAAGCCAACTTAAAATTTTCAGCAAAAGACTCTCAAACCTTGGAAATAAGTATAGTTATGGGGTGCTGCCAAGTAAGGATGGTTTTTCTCTTGGCTCACTTTGAGGACAAACGGGGTTCATAAGCAAGGGATGGGTTGAGAGGAGCAGCATTTGATATTGGGTCTGTGATAATAGATCTCATTTCCCCGTTACAAGGTGGCAACATCTGAGGTAGCACTGTAAAGATAGCACTGTAGGCAATACAAGTGGCAAGTTCTTATAATATGTTGTTGTACTTTGGTCAAATATAGAAGCGTAACCATTAGGCGTGTTTAACAGCATGAGTGATTGAGAGATAGGGGGTCTGTGAATAACAGATTTATGTAAAGAAACAGGTTAACACTTTGTGAATATATATCTTATTTGCTACAGCTAAATTTTCAGGCCCGTAGCCAGCAATTTCAAAAGGGGGGTTCTTTTCCCATAAAAACTTCATGTACCTAGATCTGATTTTACCCAGAGTGGACCTTTTCCCGGCAAA